TGAGTACGTGAAGATCCTAATCCAGAGTGTATGTGTGTGAGCGTACGTGCATAGCATGAAGATCCTAATCCAGAAGTGTATGTGTGTGTGAGTATGTGCATGGCATAAAGATCCTAATCCAGAGTGTATGTGTGTGTGAGTACGTGAAAATCCTAATCCAGAGTGTATGTGTGTGAGCGTACGTGCATAGCATGAAGATCCTAATCCAGAGTGTGTGAGTATGTGCATGGCATAAAGATCCTAATCCAGAGTGTATGTGTGTATGAGTACGTGAAGATCCTAATCCAGAGTGTATGTGTGTGAGCGTACGTGCATAGCATGAAGATCCTAATCCAGAAGTGTATGTGTGTGTGAGTATGTGCATGGCATAAAGATCCTAATCCAGAGTGTATGTGTGTGAGCGTACGTGCATAGCATGAAGATCCTAATCCAGAGTGTATGTGTGTGTGAGTATGTGCATGGCATATTGCTCCTTCGTTAGCGAGAGTAGTATACAGTCCCATGTGGACGTACTTTGCAGCTGTGTTTCTATTACCATGCTTAAGCTGGCCTGTTTATCTAGTGTTTGTACCCGAAATCCCTCGAATGCCTCCATGGCTCTTAAGTGTTCTGATTTTTTCTAAATCCGATCTCTCGTCGTAGAAGTGGTGTGAAGTTCTGTACATTTGTGTGCCGTGGGCGTGAGCTTCATTTGAGTATCTGTGCTTGCAGAGACCCAGCAAATCTCCAATCGCACTATGCGTGTTTCGTAACGCAATGGAATGAGTATGTCATATTATTTGTGCACAGTTATTCTCTGTTCACGTTTGAACAGAGGCGAGTGCTATACGCCCATATCATTCTCAAGAACATTTGGTCAAGCGTACGAGGCTGTCGGGTATTACAGACTGCTCTGCGTATAGAAACACATTGTGTACATGTGTAGGTATGTGCTGTCAGGTGCTAGCTGTATGTTGACTTGTATTTGATTTCTAAATTTGTGTGCGAAGTCTTACTTGTCTGATGATTGCTTGAAAGCCATATGAAGAATTCAATTGCATCTCATCCCCATCAACACGAGAAACCCCTACTTAAATATAAATAACTTACCCAAGTATAAATATTTCTAGATATATTTGCTATTATCAGCTAAATGTATACAAACTCGTACATTGATTTATACAAGAACAGCCGTATTTATAATACAAAGCACACGCGTCTGCCGATCCCTGGAGCACTGTGTATGGGAAACTTAGGTGCACGTGTACGAATAAACACGTGCTTGCATACGCCTGCACGTACTCATCTCTTATATTATATGTGTACATGCACACCTTTGAATACCAACAGGTTGCCTTAGGCTGCAGTGAAGAGATCTTAACCGTCGTGGCCATGCTCAGCATCCAGAATGTGTTCTATCGGCCCAAGGAGAAGCAAGCGGACGCCGATGCCAAGCGTGCCAAATTCTTCCAACCCGAGGGAGACCATCTGACACTGCTGGCAGTTTATAACTCGTGGAAGCAGAATAAGTTCAGCAACATGTGGTGCCATGAGAACTTTATACAGGCACGTACGCTGAGAAGGGCTCAGGATGTGCGTAAGCAGATGTTGGGCATTATGGACAGGTATGTGTATGTGGGCGATCTTGGCTCTTGTGTGTAGGGTAGGGCCTGTTTGCAGAAGCGTGACTTGTGCCCTAAGTATGTTTTTGGTTTATGTATATGTGTGTTTGTGATATCTCATACATAGATATTTATGTAAGTACACGTTTATGGATGCATGATTATAGACCAGAAGGCCGATATTGCACACACTTGTTAGATGCTTGCATGTGTATATGTATATACATACCCAATATTAATACGTCGTGGTAAGATTTTGCTCTATCGAGAGATGGTTGGTGGTCAACGCCATAAGATCTGTGAATGACGTAGCTAATTCGTCGTCAGTGTTGTAAGTGTTGTTTTGTTGATGTCGTACGTATTTTGTATGTTTTCGCTGTATGTCACAATATGTGGATTCAGTGCTACGTGTTTCATGTCCATATTCTTTATTCACTATACTTTATCTAATGTAGAGGTGTATAGGCAGTTTATTGTGGGTACTATGCACAAATACATATATACTATATTCACCTCAGGTACTATTATATATGTGTGTGTGTGTGTGTGTGTGTGTGTGTGTGTGTGTGTATTTATTTATTTATATATGAGTACCGTTACAACTTGTACGATTGACAATTCAGACACCAATCGCACCCAAATATTCATCCATTTCAACACGAACAATTTTCGAATATAGGAATTTTTCACGCTGAACCTTTCATTAAAAACACAATGCTATTGCACGAACCACAGATGGAAGCTACAGGCTGCACTATTCCCAGACATAGATATCAATACCATATGTACAATTAAACACGCATGTCGATTCCACCTATATATATATATATCGCATGTCGATTCCACCTATATATATATATATATGTATATATCACAACAGATATAAATAAAAAGTTTAATCCTATGTCCAACTGAATACACATGCCCATTTCACCTATCACAACAGATATAAACTCGATGTGCTCTCAGCGGGCATGAACTTTAATCTTGTGCGCAAGTGCATTGTATCTGGATTCTTCCGTAACGCTGCCAAGAAGGATCCACAGGAAGGCTACAAGACACTTGTGGAGCAGAGCGTGGTCTATATCCACCCCTCATCCGCACTCTTCAACCGGCAGCCCGAATGGTAGGTATACGCCCATGGCCGTGTAGTATATACCTCTGTCATGGTATATATATATATATAGTGTGTCTGTGTCTGCGTCTTTGTCTGTGTCTGTGTGTCTGTGTTGTATGCACATGACTGTGTAGCATTTATTCATTCATGGATAGTACATAGCACATATGCATATCTATGTTGTATGCACAAGAGTGCTTGTCTGATTCACAGCTATCTGTATGGTTGTAACTGGTCTTCGCGAGAGCTGTAGGGTTTTGTGGACCAGTGTTGAACATCACATGTTCGGTACCTATTCATGGTTGGAGTGCGCTATTAAAAAGGTGCACGCTTGAGACTAGGCACTTCACACGTGTATTTAATCCGTTATGAAGTCATTATGTATGCATACACGTACTAATCACATATCTTTCCTGTCCCATACATCATATATACATATATATATATATATATATATATATATATATATATATATTATTATTATTTATTTATTTATTATTATTTATTTATTATTATTATTATATATATATATATATATATATATATATATATATTCGTATAAATTTCATCCCTCCCTTTCTCGTATGTTTTCTGTGTGTGTACACGTACTAAGTACATTGCTCTCCTGTCTCATAGATTTTATATATATATATATATATACGTACGAATCACTTGTCTCTCATGTTCCATACCTTTCTTATCGATTATCGTGCACGTACAAATCACTTGCCTTTCTCGTCCCATGTGTCCTTTTTCACAGGGTGGTTTACCATGACCTTGTGCTGACCACCAAGGAGTACATGCGTGAGGTGACTGCTGTAGAACCGCAGTGGTTTGTGGAGTTTGCACCGGCCTTTTTCAAAGTGGGAGATCCAACTAGAATGAGCAAGGTGTGTAGAGGTTATATGCGCTTGTTAAGATGTGTTTGTGGTTTACTGGCTTGCTTGTTGTCCGGTCAATACTGTGCTGCCGCCCCCATACTAGTTACTAGTGGAGTGTATGTCTGTACCTGTGTGTGTATCCTTGTATAGGTGTATGTGTATCGGTATGCTTCACTTTAGTGCATAGTCCCGAGATAAATTGAAATGGGACGCCCTAAATTGAGATTGACTCCGTAACTTAATTAGGAGCATTGGGTCGATTATAGCGCTACCTCCTATGTAAAGGTCAATGAGAATGTCCACGAGCTGCATAAATACGTCTACTTGATCTGTACATAGCTTTCACCCGCCCGTAATCACAAAGAAACACATCTCCACAGTTCCACAATGTCTGACTTTTTCGTTTTATTTTCTGCCAATTTGATACCACTCAGGCCAAACGCCAGCAACGGATCGAACCGTTGTTCAACAAATACGAAGAGCCCAATTCGTGGCGTATCTCCAAAACCAGAATGCGCCGGAACTAGTACCGAAATCGGATCATCCACCCTATTTCGAGCGTGCTCTACATATGGATTTCAGGTCATGTATATTAGAATCGGGTATTGCAGAGCCATTCTCGAGCAGCGAGTTTGCTTGGCCACCGCACTTCATGCTGCTGTGGGAGTCTGCCATCATATCTGGATTGGCCCTTTTTAGGGGGGCGAGCTCGTGGGGAGCTCGATTGTGGTCGAGTCCGCGAGGCTGTCAACGTCAGAACGTGTCAAATCCGACACTTGTCTATAAATAGATTCACTCGGGCGCCACAAGAACTGCTGTATGTGGACGCTCATAGACGGTTGTGCGTGCGAGCGAACGATGGGTGCCGCGCAGTGTCTGTCTTGACATCACATGTGTCATACACCCATACACCCTTAACAGCATGTATTGCCAGACTTACCCGCGTGGCTTGTAGAGCTAAACCGCCAGGTGTTCCGTGGAAGTAGTTAACACACAGGATGATACATATAAGCACGTGTATTCACGACCATATTTCCACTTTGCCCGTACTTCTCCAATGAAGTGCATAGTGCCAAAGCAGAGACCCATCGGGCAGTCGGAAACTCAGCTCTGCGTCTGTCTCTAACGCTCGTAGGTAGAAATGTAGTGCAAGAGCCTAAAGACAAGCTCAGGAGGTGCGCTCTCCAGTGCAACCGAGAGGCAGGCGAGACTCGATGTGTTTCTCCAAGCACACAAGATACTTTGTAAATCATCCCGTGCAAGGGACGGGCGATAACTAGATCCATACGTGGGACCGGATGGATGTAGCAAACCCTAATCGAGAAACGTAGGCATAGATCGATCTAACGGCGAGTTTCACTATCATATCTGCAGCAATTTAGTTCAACTCTCGTTATGAAGTTAAAAAATCAGGGCGCGGATACAAATCGGGTGATTGTTTGTTTTGTACCAAATATGAGACCAAAATACTTGTTTGTAAGGGCCATGTCAAGATCAATTTTAACTGAGCAGTGGGCTGTAGTGACTTGCCTGCGATAGGCCGTAGACTGCTATTTGCGCGCTGCCAAGAATGGATGTCATACAATCTCGAATATACTTCAGAATCGAATCATACAGAATAGAGTAGTTGCATGCATACTTGCAGGTCTAGACACGCGAGAATTAAGTACCATCATATGTATATAGTCAATTATAGATGTGACAGAAACCTTTGATCTGTAGTATATATCTCGCTGACTTTCGACACGTAAAAATAATATCGTAGTGCTTCGATTCCCAAATTTTTCGCACGTTTCAAGTGAATCAATTATCCAAGATAGGTCCATGTAATTATAGAACAAAACGATGTATATCAGGCAATGCGAAATACCTCAGTACAGGAGAAAAATATGTGCAGACGTACACCGGCATTGTATACTACAGATGGTAGTAGAAGAAGCATATATATGCGTGTATTGAAACACACCTCAATGAAAGGAACACGCGGGCGTTGCTGTTGTATAGATGTCTAGTGCGCTGTATGTATCTCGATATTTACATGCAAAAACTGATTTTGCCTACAGTTTTATGTAGATCGTATGTAATCAACTGAATAAATGCAATATATTTGTGAGATGATAATGTCAAATATGTAGAGGTAGTTAATGTAGTTTGATGGCATTATACACGTGATATATGTGTATATTCTACGTTAAAGAGGAACTATATGCAAGATCGTAATACAAAGTTTTATTTATAAAACAAAAAATTGTACATTTTAAAAAGCAAAAACATGTATTCGAGCAGAAATGCACTGAAAAGCATATGTATATTCTTTGCCAGCATCAAAATATGAGTTTATGTTATTTACTTGTATATGAACCATGAATTAAACATCCCTATAAGCTATATCTATATGTATATCTCACATTCCTATAAGCTATATCTATATCCATACCTATATCTGTATCTATATCTATACCAATATCGATATATCGATATATCTAAATATAT